TATATATATATATATATATATTTTATTTTTTTTTTCCTGTGACTCCATTTCTAAATACTGTTCTGTCAATTATCAGTGGCTCTCTAGATCATAGTGGCAGTACACCCTCTCCTCACTTATCGACTGTCTTATTGCCTGACATTGCACATTTATGACAGTAGTAAAAAAATCTAGTTTTGGACTGTTTTTTTTGCATTAACAACATACATCTGGCAGTAACAAATGCTGAGGTACAAGGTAAGAGTAACACTGGCTATGACGGTTCACAGTATGTGTCAGCTTGGCTGGGACATGATTCTCAGTGGTTTAGTGGACATACAATGATTTAATTTGGCAGTTATATAAGAATGTTTTTTGGCAGTTATATAATTATGTAGTCTAGTCATTCTCTATTTTGTGATCTGATGTGGTCATCCTCCATTTTGCATAGTGCCAATTTTTGCTTAATGAGACCAGGTCTTTGAAACTTAGAATCACTTATGTGGATAGTTTGTAAAAGACCCTCCCCAAACCACCTTGCCCCCTACTCCCTTATTCAGTTATATCCTCTCCCATTCCATTGCACTGAAAGAGAAAATACTTAACTACAATGGGTCCTGGTCTTATATATCATTCAAGAAGGAGTTAGGTAAAATAATTCATGAACTGACACCTAAATGATCTAAATTTAGTGTATGAAGATTAAGTACAGTAGAAGCCCTCCTCCCTGATGAGTTAGGTAGGAAGTTGAAAAAGTTGGTTAAAATGAGTAGTCATTAAAAAATGATTGAAAGTACCTTAAACATTCTATTTTAACTCAAAACACAGAAATGCATGTTCTTTCTCCAATCTTTTAAGTTTGGGTAAAGCATTTTTAGGGTTTGATTTCATCAACTGGAGTTCTCTCTTACCTTTCTTATGTATACATCACACTTGTAAATCATCCAGTTTCTTAGAGTGAGAATATAAAGATCTTTGTGAGGCAATTCTGAGTATAAAATCTTTGTAGGCTTTTATGTTTTTCTCCTCCAAGATTTTTTTAGCATTTTTTTTTTTGCCAAAAATATGCATATGTTATTTCAGCTCTGTGAAATGCAAAAAGGGTGGAGATGTCCTTCCAAACACCATTCTAATTTTGCTGACATCAATTCAGAAAAGCTAGAGAAGATATTTGTGTGTATGTGTATGTACATGTTTTCAGATTTTAGTTTCATCAGTGTTCATGTCTTTATTCCATTTTTGTCTTTTATAAACATTCTTAAAAATCATCAAATGCATCCTAGCATGTCTACCACTGTCTCATTAATCACTTAATACTGCTTGGATTGCACTCAGTTTGTGTATCAATCACTTATGTGACTGGCCAAACTGTACATTACTAGATGTAAGGGAGGAAAACTTAAGTGATACTCTATAGGTCATAATTACCCATTACATGTTTCTTTCATCATCATTTGCAACTGCACACATCTTGTAGCTCTCTATGCAGTCTATTTCAAATTCTAGTGCTGTACATATCTATATCTTCTGGATGGGACTGCCTGTGATCCATGAGCTTGGGGTCAGGCATAAACTATGTAGCAGGTGAGGTGGGTTCAGATTTGGCCTTTGTTTCAGAGCTGAGTTCTGCTAACAAAGGTACTGAATTTTTCAGGACTTGAGTTGTCTTTGTAGGCATTTCTATCTCAGCATCAATTCCTACCTTAGTTTTTTTATGTTCAGGTAGTGATTCCTTTTTGTTGCTTTTTGTCCATGATGATTTAACTGCTTCATAGATTTGCTGGCCTGCAGCATATGCCTTTTTCCCAGTCACCTTTGCAATTATTACTGACTGAACTGGGTAGCAAACTGTTGCTCCTGAAGTGGTTAGTTCCAGTGGATAAGCAATTTTCTTAAATCTAGAACCTTTTCTCGCTGAAACCAAACCTGCCAATCCTGAAACTGTAATCACTCCAATTTTGGGAAGAAAATCTCCAGGTGGATTCTTCAGATAAACATATGCATCTTTTCCAAATTGTATTGTATCCATTATTCCATTTTTTACAAAGACAAACACACCTTTGCACCAGCCAACATAACGACCAGTTGTAGTACAGATGGAAGCAAAGCCCATTTGTAAACGACCAGGCTGTTCTTCAACATATTTAGACTTGAGAGGTGGTGCAGTATACATGGGGAGCTGCTCTGGTTTTACTAGCTGCTTTTTGAACTCCTCTTCTTTGGCAGCACGTACACTTACAGATGCATATATCAGACCAGTAGGCATGGCTGTAACCTTTCCCACCCTAACGGCCGCCATTCTTGTGACCCTCTCTGCGCAAGTATTCATATGGAGACTTTTTTTAGCATTTTTAAAAGGTGCTTTTATTGTCTCTCAAAAACATTTCATCCAGCTTTTATAATGTATTTATACATTCATATTTCATTAGTTTATATATACTTTTAGATTTTATAATTACAGTAAGTAGAACATTTAGCATGAGGGGGAAAAAAAAAGAAAAACTGGGTAAACATTTTACTTTTCAACTTGGGTACTAGAGAATAGGTTACTGGCTTCAAATATTTTGTGTGTTATGGGTATAAATATGTTTTCCAGTGGGGTAGAGGGTTTGTTAGTCCAGTGAATCAGTTAAGCTGGAAAAGATTAAGAGAGCTAATAATTTTTAATAGTAAAGTTATTTGCAAGTCTAATACCCCCTCCCCCACAGCAGTAGATTTAAACTTCAGTTTTATTTTTAAGACTTAGGAAATTTATATCTATTTTTGTTCTTTCATCTTTGAAATACCATATTTGTAAAAAAATTACATCCATGTATTCTTTGAGTAGAAGAAAGCAATTAAAAAGTAACCCTTTGAACCATTCACTTTTATTTGATAACATAAAATGAGTTTAATCTAGGGATAATAAAATTTTCTTGAACTGAAATTGTTTTGTTATGTCTTTGGATTCAAGAAGAAAATAAGATTTTATAAACATATAGCTCGTTCAGTTTTTATCACGTAACATCGGAAAATGTGGTAATAACTACTAGCACGTTAAGTGTTATATGTTACCATTATCTCATTCAGTTCTCTTCAGATTTGTGTGTGTGTGTGTGTGTGTGTGTGTTTTCCATTTTACAGTTGAAGAAATTGATTCAGAGAGTGCCTATTACCATATAGCCCTTAAAAGGCAGATTAAGTTTAGAATTTAGCTGTCTCTAATTCTAAAGTCTAAAATGTTCTATCGTGTTGGTAATTTTTTTTTTTTAAACCTCTTATTTACTTTTGGGATGTGTGTGTTTTTTTTAGATGAAGAAAATAGTTTACATGTGGTAGTAAACTGTGGAGAAGCATTACTGAAGAACAACACTTACTGGCCTCTCGTTAGTGATTTTATTAATATTCTTTCTCATCAAAGTGTGGCTAAGAGATTTCTGGAGGACCATGGTTTGTTAGTTACATGGATGAACTTCGTGTCTTTCTTTCAAGGTATGAATTTTAACATTTATGTTAATTCTTTTGGTTTACAAAATTTCTAATACCAAGCTACTAAATATGAATTAAAATATATGCCACATTATTCAGGTTACACATTCATTGTTTCATTTTAATTAATTGATATCTTAAGTACTTTAATAAAATCTTCATGAAAACATACTAGATAAGAAAAGAGTTATTCAAAAGGAAACAGCAGAGTAATTTTTTTTAGCATTTTTAATTATTAATCTAGAAAGTCTGTTCTCCAAGAAAGATATGTAACACTTTCAACCCACATCAATTAAAATTGTTGTGACTTTCTTATTTAAATATATTTAATTATGCTACACAAGTAAGGGACAATTCACAAATGATTCTAAGAAAACCTAGTTTTTAAAGAATTCTCAAAGGCTTAGATGATTTCATTTTTATTAATTTACTTATTTCTCTATATACTATGTTATTTATGCCATTTGTGTGCATTTAAAATGTGTCTTGTTAAAAAAAATGTGTTTGGTACTGGAAGGTAATTTAATTGATTTTTTAATCAGAATATTTGCTTCCATTTAGCAAGGTTTATATCTGCTTTAATTTTTACAAGGTATGAACTTGAACAAGAGAGAGCTAAATGAGCATGTGGAATTTGAGTCTCAGACCTACTATGCTGCCTTCGCTGCTGAACTTGAGGCCTGTGCACAGCCAATGTGGGGGCTCTTATCACATTGTAAAGTTAGGGTATGTTGAACATATTTTAACTTCTGTGAGTGCTTTAAAAATAACTATTTTTTAAAAATTGTTTTGTGAAAACATTGGTTTATTTACAGGTATATAATTATGTGTAATGTTTAATTTTGTTTCAAATTGAATTTAGATCTATGAAAGCTGGCCTGAGACAGTAATTATTATCCTGTTATTCTTTTATTCTAAGGTTAGAATCATTAATATTATCAGATCTTTCTACCTTGCTCCTCTTGCACATGGTCTTTGGAACTTTATTAGTCTCCACATTTATATCTGTTGTTTCATTTTATCCATTATCAGTTGCTTAATGTGTCTTGTCTTTCAAAGAGTGATGATAAACCTCAAAGTTTACACTTCTGAGGCTCTAAGTACAAAATTAACATAAAGTTCACACAATTTCTAGTTCTTTATAAAAAGTCTTAAGATCTTGTAGCATAGCAACAACATAAATCGTAATTAGATAAGAAAATGCTCACATGTATTGCCTGTATTTATGTCTTGCACAGTGGTTAAGCACTTTGCTGCTAACCAGAAGGTGAGCAATTTGAACCCATCATTGGCTCCATGAGAAAAAGATGTGGCAGTTTGTTTCTGTACAGAGTTACAAACTTGGAAACCCTATGGAACAGTTCTTCTCTGTTCTGTAAGGTCCCTATGAGTCAGAATTGACTCAATAGCAGTGGGTTTTTATACAAATATGTATTTTACTTTTGCATTGTAAAGCTTTGGTTTGATGAGTGTGGTAGTTAAGATTATGTATCAGCTTGGCTGGGCCTGGTTTGGAGTGGCTGGGCAGCTGGATGTAGTGATTCCCCATGATAGACTGGTAGTCAACTTAATGGAATCTGCTCTGAGCAGCTGAGTATCTGCCTTAGGGATCTGGTCTGCTTCCAGTGTATAAGAAGTGGCTTTGAGAAAGGTCTCTGAGCTTTTTGGGCACATCTGGATCCTGCATTTGGGCCGAGTCTTCATCTCAGTTGCCTGCCATATCGTCTTTTGATCGTGAGACTGTTTCTGAACTTGAACTAGTGGCCTGCCATGTTGTTTGATAATTTTGGAACTGTGCCATTTTACTTGTTGACCTTGGGTTTGTCAGTCTCAGTAGCCAGCAGCTGTCTGAGTTGAGAGAAGCTTCCAGCTTCAGTGGGCCAGGAGCAAGAGGCAGAGCTGAAGCCCAAAGTTAAGGGACTTTTCACCCTGTCCCTAGAACTGGCATTTGAACTTGGACTTCTAGCCTCTCAAACTGTTTGTTAAACTCATCCACTTGTGGTATTTTTCTGTTAGAGCAACACAAGATCCAAAACAGTGAGTCTCCAGAAATCTTGGGTAATCCAGAAAAATGGAATCCCTTGATCCTAAAACTAAAGACTAAAATTTTGTTGTACGCATCCTGTGAAATCCAACCAGCTAGCCTCTACCAGTAAGCATGTATGACAACATTTTTTTTATTATTATGACATTGACCACAATTCACCACATGCAACAGCTCCCCCCCCCACTTCCTTCCAACAGTCACCTCTTCCCTGTGTCCATCCCTCCATGTACCCCTGCCCCCTGAGCTGTCTCCTGTTCAGAAAAGCCCTTCTTTCTTCCATGATTGTTCTCTCCAAGGAGTGTATTTACCTCAGGTAAATGTTCAACTCCTATGCCT